GTGGTACAATACCATTGATTGAGGCAGGAAACATTGAGAGAAAAGTGACTCAGATCTGGTATGCTGATGACTCTGCTGCTGGGGGAAAACTGGAAGAAATGAGGAAATGGTGGGATAACCTCTGCATTAAAGGACCACTTTTTGGTTACAACCCTAAATCTTCCAAGACATGGGTGATAGTCAAGCCTGAGCACGAAGAGAAGGCAAGAAACTTGTTCCCAGATGTCAATGTGACAAGTATTGGTCGACGATATCTGGGCAGCTTTATCGGAACTGATGAAGGAAAAGGGGCTTTCATCGAGGAAAAAGTTCAAGAATGGTGTCGTGATCTTAAACAATTAAGTGATATAGCATCAAGAGAACCTCAAATAGCATACAGTGCATACATGTATGGGCTTAGTAAAAGATGGAACTATGTGTGCAGAACTACCCCAGGAGTTGCAGATAGGCTCACTCCTCTGGAACAAGTAACACGCGATGAGTTTATCCCAGCTATCATCAACAGGCTGTTTAGCTGCACTGATGAACTAAGGAACATAATGGCTCTACCACCAAGATATGGAGGATTGGGTATACCAGTTATGATGGACATGGCAGACCGAGAGTACAAATTCTCATGTAGAGCCACAAAACCCCTTAAAGAAGCTATTCTCAAGCAGGTAGACAACTACACAGAGGACTGGAGAGTAAGCAAAGGAGTGAAAACTGAGATAACAACTGAACGAAATCTCTTCTATCAACAAAAACAAGCGGAAATACGCCAGGAGCTCGAGTCAACACCACTGGCAAAGTTGATGTTCCAACTAGCTGCTGAGAAAGGGGCAAGTGCTTGGTTAACAGCACTACCTTTAAAAGAGTATGGATATCTGATGAACAAACAACAGTTCTCAGACGCAATAGCACTCAGATATAACCTAAACTTAAAGGACAGCCCTAAGACATGTACGTGTGGCCAAAAGTACTCAGCAAACCATGCGCTCATCTGCAAACTCGGTGGATATGTGTCACTGCGGCACAACTCGCTGAGAGACACCTTTGCTGAACTAATGAGAACTGTGAAATGCAAGGATGTGCAGACTGAGCCAGTTCTTCTTCCAGTTGATGGTCTGAAGTTGCCTAAGGGAACAGTACTTGGAGACCAAGCTAGGCTGGACATTTCTGCAAGATCGATTTGGAATGCTTCAGAGAGGGCATATTTTGATGTAAGGGTATTTCATGCCCCAGCCCCCTCCAATGCAAGCAAATCGATCCCAGCAATGTACCAGTCCCATGAAAATGAGAAAAAGCGATGTTACAACGCAAGGGTTCTTGAAGTGGAGAAAGGAAGCTTCACACCTTTAGTGTTCTCGACTTCTGGTGGAATGGGTAGTGAGGCTGAAAGACTGGTAAAAAAGCTGGCCAGTAAGATGGAGTACCACACTGGCCAGAGGTACTCGGATGCTATAGGTTACATCAGAAAGCGCCTTCGCTTTGAAATCCTAAGAACAACAGTGATTTCTCTCCGTGGAGACAGAGGTGCAAGAAAAAACATTGTTAATATAAACAGTCTAGATCTTAACTTGGAGCCACAAGGCCAAGGGTAATTTTTGAGTGTTTAGGGAATTTTTTATATTCTTAAAGGTTTGTTTTTATATAGGGTCATTGCTATATTATGTGTATATTGTTTGAATAATTTTATATTTCAAAAAAAAATTGACCACGGTTTAGGAGTATGTACAGATTTTAATGAAACTTTTAGAACTTTTATTATAGAGAATTGCAGTCCCAGTACACTTGAAGTAAAAGAAAATAACTACATACATTTGCTTAATTCTCTTAGACCTTTTGGCCTTAATACTGTCAATCCCTTTGGATTACCTATATTCCATAAACCTTAATTTGATCTTTTTACCCTTTTCGGATTCTTAATTTTGTAACGGCTTGAGTTTCACTAACCTTTTAACATTTTTTAGGTTCAATGTCACTGGAGATGACTACAATCGAAATATATTTGGCAAGAATCTGAATGTTTTCAGTGTTGAAAGTTTAGTTTCTTAAATCCTAGAGTAGTCATTCGTGTCCCTGATACTTGGGTTAATTCTAACTCTCCTGATTTTTAATTATGTTGCTGCTACTTGCAACTTAAGCGCGGCACCGCGCCGAAAAGCTTGCGGTGCTGCGCCTAAACTCTAAATATTGTTAAGGAAAACGAAGATTCGCAAAATAATTTACTAGCTGACCTAGTGAGATATTACAATTAATAATTATAGCCGTTCCGGATCCATACGTAGGTTAGTACATAAACCAAAAGCAGTTTGCAAAAGGAGCCAGTTGCCTGTAAGAGCTTTACTAGCACCCTATTTACCACATTTGGTGCACACACGTAATATGCCTTATCACTTATATTAAACCAGCCTAACACAAAAATCACCACGAGTGGGTGGATTGATTCCCAGGACATTTATCAGCATCCAGCACTAATATAATATGAAGTTTATTATATAAATGTTGTTTATTATATAAATGTTGTATTTATTATTTTATTATTATTATCGAATTTAAAATTTGGCATATGGAACGTCATACATATATATAACATATTTATATTTATTCTCTGGTTAACAGATTTCAAATGTTTAATTAATTTGTAGTATGACAGTAAGGTATATAAGAAGTTATTTAATTTTGCTTGGGCTCTTATATTGACTATTGAGGTTTAATGATGATATGGAATTTGAATTCTATATAAATTTACACTATGTGGTTGGGGCATTTTGCATAGTAAATATGGTTACTACTCCTATATATCATATTATTTGATTGGTATTCGATTTCTGATTATTTCTCTAGGAATATGATTATTATATCTCAATTTGGCTTTAGGTAGGGTGCCCCGCTAAAAGAACTGGATTCTTCCAGGAAGCATCCCGTGCACAGACCTTGGTCTACATATATATTAAATTATTAACCATTCATTCTGTATGTGCACGAAAATTTATTTCAATCAATCAATATAAGTTGGTCGATATCATATATATCAGTTAATTATTTAAAATAATCCATTCAGGTATTTGGTATCGGTACTATTTTATTTAAGTTGAACTCAATATGACATTAGTTGATTTAAATTCAAATATAAAATTGCTAGAAGTACAGACCAGGTTTTACATAACGTAGCGACAGGAATACATTGCATCTAAATTATTTCACTTGCATTAGGTTTAAAAATTTATTCTCTGGTTAACAGATTTCAAATGTTTAATTAATTTGTAGTATGACAGTAAGGTATATAAGAAGTTATTTAATTTTGCTTGGGCTATTATATTGACTATTGAGGTTTAATGATGATATGGAATTTGAATTCTATATAAATTTACACTATGTGGTTGGGGCATTTTGCATAGTAAATATGGTTACTACTCCTATATATCATATTATTTGATTGGTATTCGATTTCTGATTATTTCTCTAGGAATATGATTATTATATCTCAATTTGGCTTTAGGTAGGGTGCCCCGCTAAAAGAACTGGATTCTTCCAGGAAGCATCCCGTGCACAGACCTTGGTCTACATATATATTAAATTATTAACCATTCATTCTGTATGTGCACGAAAATTTATTTCAATCAATCAATACGGGGACACGGGAGGTCAATGCACCATAAGGACAGCAGTCGAGTGGACAGTTGACGAGAACTTGATTGAAAATGAGTCTCTTGTTCATTGGAAAGAAATGATTCATATTGAATCATGTGACTGAATAAATATTTTGCACTAGCTCCAACCCTTTACTTGACCTCCCCGAAATTTTCTCCACTAACTTTACCCATACCAAACCAGGCCCTTGACACTACCACTGAAGGACCTCTGTTCTGAAAAATTAAGACATCACATTATCGGTGGCGTAACGAAGGGCCCCACTGCGCAGGTGGGCGTCATCTTAGGGGGGGCGCCAAATCGTTGTTTGAATGTGGGACAATTTAAAAAAACTTAACTACAGTACTAGCAAAACTGCGCGTCTTGCTCTAGAAACACACTTTTTAAAAGAATTTTGTGCATGATCTTCTAAAATCATCTAATTTGTCCAATTTTAGGGAGGGGCACCAAAGAGGGAGGGGGCGCCAACAGGGGCCGGCGCTTTTTCAGCAGGAGGGGGGGGGGGGCCGGGGGGGGGGGGGGGGGGTACTCTCAACCACCACTTTGGCATATAGTTGTTGCACCTTTCACAAACAAGAGCCACTTTGTTAAACTTGCTGTGAGGTGTATCAGCTTCATGGCTCGGGGGTCTTCCTTTTAACAGAATCTGGGTCAGAAAAGTTAATTGCAACTAAATTTCTCCACAATGAAAATGACATTACTTGAATAAATTCGTTGTTGGAATCGGCAAACTTGCAATCAGTCTTGATAAGAATTGAGTTTTTAATGCTTTTCTGTACCTGTGCTATTGTTTGTTTCATTGCTCTAAGGGACCTGGTCTTCGTTCTTATTTTATTCCTTAGGGGTCGTTCATGTATAACTTAATGAATATTTTAGCACTCCTTACCTCCCCCATCCGTAATCAACTGTAATCAAGACCCAATCATCCTCCTGACAGCAATTTTACATAAACAAGGCCTGAATTTTTCCTGAAAATTCCTAGAATTTCTGGTTGATATCCACCCAAGCACCTTCTAAACTACTTACTTTAGCCAGATATCTGATCAATTCCTAAATTTATTAGTATCAAACACCCCCACCCCAGCCTGGCCTCGTTATCAATCGAAATCATGTCACTATTTTCGTTTCACAGTTTTAACAGTATTATCTCAGTAAAGGTATACATTAGGCCTTGAAAGGGTGTGTTTACAAAGGATCTTGAATATTATCTGAGCATTCTTTGTTACACATTGAAATCTATAAGTAACATTGGAGTACACTGAATAATTTAGGGAATTTAATGAAATGATGAAATATTATTACAAACAACAATTGGATTAGTGTTTTATTATGATTTTTACATAACATCTCTTCAATATTGATTCATTTTAGGTTTTTAAATGTGAAATGAATGATTGTGTTTATATTGCTACTGGTTAGAGCTGGGTATCCCTACAATCTCTACTGTGATAATTCGGTAAGACACTTTGGATTCAAGATTCAATTTGTTCACTCTGTGAACATTATAACTGTTGGTAATTTTTTGGAAGTAATTTGTGCATTAGATGTTATTATTATTTTGAGGGTATTTCTAATATTAACATGTAGATTGTTTACTAAATTTGCCTCTTAATCATTTCATGTCTTTTCAGGATCAGGTGACCCACGATCAATGGTGTGACGGTTCATACGATTGTGCTGATCGCAGTGACGAGAAGTCTCTGTGCTGTGTTGCAGGCAAGCACAGGGTCGATGGAGAATGTGAGGATATAGATGAATGCTCAAGAGCTGGTTCTCTTGTGTGCTCCCAACATTGCCACAACACTGATGGCTCCTTTGGGTGTTCCTGTGACCCGGGATTCAGTCTGAATCAAAAGCCCCATATCCCCGATGAGAGGGAAACGTATTGTAAAGCATTGGGAGATGATCCAGTATTCTTAACTTCAATAGACAATAAAATTATGAGAACTTCTGATCTTCAAAGCTTTGATTTGGTATCAATGGTAGGGGTTGAAGATTCCCATCATATATATGATTTTGATTATGATTATCAGAGCAACCTATTATTTTGGTGTTCTGGTGATACTCAAGACTTGCAGAGTGCTATGCACAAAAACCTATGGAAGGCGAGTTATGACAATTCACAGCTGATAGAAGCAGCTAAGATTGCAGATGGTATAGACTGTGTATCAATTGCAGTTGATTGGATCAACAAGAAAGTTTATTGGGTAACTGCAAACAGTGGCCAACTTGTTGCTTCAAATTATGATGGAACAAATCAAGCCACTTTGTTGTGGAGGAATGTCGGCTGGAATTTGAGGGCCGTGGCCGTTTCTCCTAAATCAGGCTACATTTTCTGGTCTAACTGTGGTGCTGACCCTCACATAGGACGTGCTAATATGGATGGATCACATCCAACGTTCTTAATAAAAGGTCAGGCTTCATGTTATTGATGAATGAAAAAAGTTTATTTCAGGAATTTATCCTTGAGACCCATTAATCGGTAATACGTTTCCATCATTAGCCGAAATATTGGACTGATCTTTTCTTGGCATTAATCTGACCCAACTCATTCATAAATAGATAAATTATGACTGTGAAGTGGGATTCGTGATTTGGATTAGTTTGTGAAGCTCCTTTTAGAAGCTTCAAATTATCTGCAAATGAAATCAACAACAAAATTTTGAATCTTATGCGGCTGCAATAATTTAATTTTGATCAATGACTTAATCTGACTTATTCTATAACTGTCCCGATAGTCCTGCCCTCCATTCAACAATCGTTTAACGTGACATATTACTTGCTAAAATGGAATTTAATGGAGAAGTCCTGTTCAGATCTGTTAAATTCCTGCAACTTTTGCCCTCATGAGATGTCGTCCAAGAAGAGATGTTGCTTAGCTTACTTTAATAAGACTCGCCCTCACACACCCATCTTTTCAACGATATTAAACTAAAACACTAATAACAAGATATTAAACTAAAACACTAATAATAACATACGATTATCCTCCAGAATCGGAAGGGGACCAGATAATGGAGCCAACAGCCATGACGGTTGACCAAAACACAAACCATCTGTACTGGATAGACGCTCACTACAGAACTCTCCACATCATGGATTTTAATGGGAACGATTTTTCCTTGCAGAGATCTAACATTCACATGATATCAGCCTGGCGCATGAGTTTGTTTGAAGACAGGTAAATCATACCCTTATATGGGCATCACGTGTTTAGCATAACTCAGTCTGACTAGGTGCGTGATTTGGTTTAACATTGTATTTTGACCACACAAAGAATATGACATCACCTTCCCCCGGGGAGTTGGAGTCGTTGTAATGAAATGTAGAATTTAAAAACGTTCGAGAACATGATGCAAAGTTGTAGATTGTAATGTAATGTTCGAGAATATAACGGCCACAGACCATGCTCTATAAATCAGACGTGGAGACAAATCACCATTGTCTACTACTGAGTAAATATGATTAAACTCGAATTTACACAATATATATAATAGATTTACTTTTGATTTACTTCTTAATTAATTAATTAATATAATTCCACAGCGTGTACTGGGTTGATTCCGTCATGTCAGAGGGAGCTTACAGAATGCACCATGCCAGCAAGCTGACTGGAGATGACTACTACGATACGTCACTTGTAAGTTAAATCTCACTTCAATTACTCACGGTTACAACTGAGATCATCAACGGATTTAAGTTGGGTTCCGTCATTTGGTAGCAAATAGTTAAAGAGCCAGGTAGTTCATGTCTGATTATCCCAAGATTCAGATTCTGGAGTCCACCAGGTACCTGGCTGCTGCTGTAATTGTCAGCTCAACCTCAGCCCGGCCCGGCAGCAATGCTCTGAATCAAAAAATCTTTAGCCCCAGCCGATTGAGGGTCCCCCCCCAGAACCAACCTCAATTTCTCACCGATTAATAACTGTAATAAACTCTAATTGACTGATAATTTCAGGAAATTGAAGCACAGATCTCAGGATTCAGGATGTACCACCAGTTACTCCAGCCAGCCCACTCTAACGCCTGTACTGGCAACAAATGTCAACATCTTTGTCTACTGACCCCCACAGGGTATGTTATAATTATAAAATTTAAATTCTAAACAAAAGATGATCTATCAAGTTTAATCAAGGTCACTTAAAATTACAAAACCAAGATTCCTGCCAACATCTACACTTTCAACACATCTATAAGAATAAGTTATCTACTTCTCTTATCTCGACCATCAAATAATAACAATACTGTCTGGTTACTCGGTTCCTTTCACTGATTTTTTTTACTCCACAATTATTTCCACTTTTCTCAGCCTGTTTTTAACCTATCTGGCTAGTCGTTCTTGTTTCCTTTCTTTCTACAGAACCCAAACCTCTCGCGCATCATGGTGGTTGCTTTTACTTCTCATTTCCATCTTTTCACGATCGTTTTTTTGCCCTGCACCGCTAAGTAAATCCATTATAATTCCGTCCCCTGATTAGTAGGGCTACCCTAATTCAATTGCCGTCGAACACGACTATAAGGGGTCCGCAGTGAAAAATCAACGTGACTAAAATACGTGACGATTACTCCACCATATTAAAAAGTTAAAACGCACTCTCTCTCTCACCCTCTCTCTCTCTCTCTCTCTCTCTCTCTCTCTCTCTCTCTCTCTCTCTCTCTCTCTCTCTCTCTCTCTCTCACCCTCTATCCCAGGGGTGGTGTTCCTTCTGAACTGTCACAAAACGTCTTCCTCGCCCCCAGCCGCATACTCTAAACATACCATACCTCGGGCTTGAACTAATCCCATGTCCAGCCGACAAGTCTTGCTTAACTGCCCCTCATTAATTTTTACTATTGTTGAACGGACTTCTAAATCAAATCCTGTCAATCGGACCAGATTCCAGGCTCCTGAATATGTCAAATTTGTTGTTCAGAGGGAGGGGGTCTCTAGGGAAATGAGGGGGGACGGTATCATGACAATTTGTAAGCCGATGCTGATGCTGGTGCCGGGCTGTCGTAATACCATTAGCTGTTTGGGATTCAGGGGGTGTTCATTCTCATCGGCTCCAAAAACTTGGAGCCGTCTAAATATTGGAGCAGTTAATGCGATCAATGTGATATATCAGAGGGAGTGGGGTGTGTGTGTATCGGGATTTTAATATTGTGTCCGTTCTTTACAAATTATTGGATAATGGTGCTGCATTCTGTACTCTCATGTTACCCGGGTGACAAATTTAGATTATATGTAACAAAATGAGAAATTGGTTTCATCATTGTGAGCCTTGAAAGACTGGAAATGTTAAGCGATGATCTGTGGCTAAGGCACTGAACGAATTGTCTTGTATCTGTAGTGAGGTACCACCTGTTACCAAGTTAAAACATTTCTTAATCCTCTCAAATAAAAGCCTGTATTACCTGACAACCTCAACATTTGTGGGCAGTTCATCAAGAAATAAGAATCTATTTAAATTTGCGAGTTTCCAGAAATTTAGCCACCTGGTTACAATTAGTTTTGTCGAAACATTTCTTTTGGAAACATATTAAATCAGTATATTGTGTGCTCTTAAGCTGCTAAGAATTCTATCTTTCCTCGTCTTTAAGCTTCCAAAATCTTGGAATGTAACATCCAGGAATCTGGAATATTCACCCCGGCCCGTACAGCAAGTATATAATTATGAAACTATTCCTTTTACATAGTCTTACATTTTAACCCAACATTTATCCTATAATATGTGACTATTTATTACATTAAACATTAACAAAATATCACAAAAGAACAAAGACAACTTATATTTCATTCATAACTTTTGGAAGTACAGTAAAACCCTGATTTACCGCAAACCCCGATTTACTGCGGCTGTTTCCTTTCCCCAAACTCCGCGGTAAATCGGGGTTTTACTTACATTTACACCCCATCATATATTATGAATATGAACAACTATAAACATTAATGTTTACTACACTATCTATATCATTATATCGTTTCAATGTAACTAAATAATATTCATGTTCTTAAATTATTCGTTTTACCTGAAAATATCAGTTTCCCTTGGTCTTGGTCGCATATGATACGGAATCATGGAACTCTAAACATCACAACAATGTGACTCATATAAATAATGTTCGGAATATTACCACAACCCAGTAATGATATTGCACAGCTGCGCTGTGGGATGGAGAGAGGGAGCAGACGGTCACAGTAACTGCAAGTAACACTATCTTAGATCTCACTTTGTGACTATCACGCCGAATCGAGTTTAATATATCACGCCGGGGGCCGGGCGAGTAATTTGAGAATCTTCTTATAGTGATATAGTATGATAGTATTATCTATATTGTCATGAGTGTCACGGTGTAGTGATTTTTGGGAGCAGGGGGGTTTCCTTTTGGGTTTTTTAGGAATGTTTGCGGAGGAATGTTCGCTGGTTTTGGGGAGGGGATTCCTGATGTTCCCTGGATTTATGAAGGAGCAACGTTCCCCGGATATGTTGGAATGTTGAAAATAGTGGAGCTAAAATAGGACATACCTACTAAAAAAGGTATGTAGGAGCCATTTTTAGGAATGACTGCCGAGGTATGTAGGAGCCATTTTAGGAATGACTGCGGAGGTATGTAGTAGCCATTTTAGGAATAACTGAAGCTGAGGGGGTTCACCAGATGTCTGGTAACTAAATTATAATATCAGGTGTAATCTGAACTCATGATTATTAGATGTATATATTGTGGCTACACACATTGAAACATTCTAGAAGTTATTATTACTAGCAGGAACCCGTATAACCCAAAAATGGTGTCAAGACTCAAGAGACTAAAATAATTATTACCTATTTAATTCGCGTTTTTGACACCACTTGGGGTACCAAATTTTGGGCTCTAAAACTACTATTTCTTGGCCAAATTTTTATTTTTTCATACCGATTTGAAGGCAATTAAAGCATTTGACCCAGTCAAAAAAGTTTCAGTTGTATATCTTTTACGGTTTTTGCGGAAATTCGCGTTAAAGTTGATGCCGTGGTGTCAGTAAAATGGCACGGATAAATAAATATATATATATGGATGGCGGTTAGATGAGTACACTACTCTCACAAGCATCTCGAGTCTCTCGGTGATCCTGCCTCCACACCACACTCAGTCTGGACTCCCTTCCGGCCGACCGAACTATTTTCCTAATATCTCCTAATATAACTTTGATCGAACAAGCCTAAATTCATGATGCACTATAAACTTGATTTGAGACAGAAATTTTAGACAATTTATCTGCTTACGTGTAATTTCAAACTCTTATCAGTTACCATGTCTTTTATCTAATTTTTATCAGCAGATTTATAAATCTGCTGTTCATTTGTAGTTATTACCTTGCTAGTTATGAGTAAATTTTTGCCTTCCATCAATTGAGTGCAGCTTTCAGTTTTAAAATTTTCAGTTTATTCAGATTTTTCGTTTTCGATATTGCAAATTTTTAATAAATCATGTTCAGATTATGGTGATAATGGATGTAAAGGTACTTCAACCGAATTCAACCGTGTGTATGACGTGTCCCAGTAGCCAATCATAATATATGTATTTCTACCGGTGGCACATACTGGATGGCGGTTAGATGAGTACACTACTCTCACAAGCATCTCGAGTCTCTCGGTGATCCTGCCTCCACACCACACTCAGTCTGGACTCCCTTCCGGCCGACCGAACTATTTTCCTAATATCTCCTAATATAACTTTGATCGAACAAGCCTAAATTCATGATGCACTATAAACTTGATTTGAGACAGAAATTTTAGACAATTTATCTGCTTACGTGTAATTTCAAACTCTTATCAGTTACCATGTCTTTTATCTAATTTTTATCAGCAGATTTATAAATCTGCTGTTCATTTGTAGTTATTACCTTGCTAGTTATGAGTAAATTTTTGCCTTCCCAATTGAGTGCAGCTTTCAGTTTTAAAATTTTCAGTTTATTCAGATTTTTCGTTTTCGATATTGCAAATTTTTAATAAATCATGTTCAGATTATGGTGATAATGGATGTAAAGGTACTTCAACCGAATTAACAATCCAACCGTGTGTATGACGTGTCCCAGTAGCCAATCATAATATATATATATATATATATATATATATCGTCTCGCTTTATATATAGTAAGATAATTATTAAAATGTACTTTTATAACACCGAGCATGTCCCTCGTTGTCCGTCTATGAGAAATCATCTCAGAATCATTAAGTTAGGCAAAGGAGATGCCCTGAACAGTCTAAAGTAGAAGTGAAGCAGACTGCAGCTGGTTGTAAAATAGATGTGATTAACATCACTAAATTTCATTAACTTTCCAGTCTGATACAGTATGTTCTCAGCCTACAAAGATGATGCTAAATAAATTGATAGGCTCACATAAAGTTTTATAAGTTCTATTACTTCTTTCTATTACTTATTTGTGTTCCTTATTTCTATAACTTATTTTTATTACTTTCTATTACTTATTTCAATATGTTCCGAGCCCATAAAGATAATGCTAGTACTAATAAATTGATAGGCTCACATATAGTTTTATAAGTTCTATTACTTATTCCATATCAGAGTAAGAGTTGTAATTACTTTGATCTGCCAGTCCACATGAAGAACGTGTATAAGTTTTGGCGGGATATTGTTTACATAGTTTCTATGATATATACAATGTTGGACTAGTCTAAAGTCAACATGTTTCATTTGTATATAATAATATGTGGTTGAGGAATAAAGGTTCAAGATACTCCTCTCTCCGCTAAATGTACCACCAATTAGTGACCAATTAGTGACCAATTAGTGATCTTCTGAACAATACTCGCGGTTTCTGGCTGTACGACGCGGGCTATCATCTTTAATTGTATGTCTAATTTAGATGTCTAAAATGTCCAGCTTGCCATTGTATTCCTCATTCCCGGCAAGTTGTCTAAACCGTCCAGGATTTGCTTTTGTTTTCCCTGAAATCCTGGTAACAATTCCCTAAAATAAGCGTCCATAGCTCGCTAAAATACCACAGAAGGAAGAATTACATCCAACTTATCCTCTACTTTCTGTCCAACTTTCTCCTCGGATATACAACATGTAAAAGCTAAATATCTAACATTCAAGCCCCAGAGCTCGGTATTTTATTACATGTCTAACATGGGCTTTATGTCATACTGTCATAATTGTTGGCGACAATTTTGCGTGAAATTTTAGCTTACCCAAGCTTATAAATATGATCAATACTTGACTTCTGAGGGTCAATTTCCTATGCAGTCTTCATCATTCGAGAGGTAATCCTTTATTAAAACAAAGTTTGAAAGAAGGTAAATTTCGTCACAAATCAATAGTAATAATTTCATACTACATGAAATTACACGGTCAGACTCTGTGTGGACCTCTTAGATTGACGTAGTTTGAAGAGCATGAAATTAGCCTCCACTGGTAACAATATATGGGATAGCTCATAACAATTTGACTGTTCTACAGAAGGTACCGGAACTCTGGAGCCGAATTTGATAGTAAATATTTTGCAAATATCTCAGATTTGCAATCTTCAAATGTTGAGGTCAGTAACGTTCCCGGAGTAATAAACTTAAGTTCTAGAGGGGACATCAGGACATGTTTCCTGTGGTCAGTTGAAAGTTTATTACGTCCAATTATAAATTAGTGTTGAAACGAACAATAAGTGCTTTTTTTAATGGCCCCCTATTCAGAAGAAACCTTTCAAATATAATTATTTGTTGTCTGACTTAACCTGCCCAATTCAAATAACCTTCAACACCTTAGAACCAGTTTAGAAGTTATTTCAAAGTATGGACCAATTTTGGGAACTCTTAGAACAACGTGGCAAAACTATTCTAAACTTGTCCTGAAAGTAAAGTAAGTAAGTGCGACAGGCTAATGCGACACCTGTTTACTTCTACCCGTATTAGTAACTGAAAATTCCTGGAGAGACTTAACAATTGAAGTGTTGATTTCTGGTTAAAAAATGCCAAAGAACCAGCCCACGCAAATTGTCAGTATAATAAATATATATAAATTTGTTAATCCAGTTAATAGCACTTTTGATGATTGCGAGACTTAGCGTCTCAAGATGTACTTGTAACAAGTCGTCATAATCATAATACGTAGCTTCCGGTAGTAGTAGTAGTACCAGTTTAGCCATAAACACAATTTGCGGATTAAATTTTGGTAAATGAATCAGATCATGTCGGTAAGCCTAGCCTGCATGGTGAGATTTGTAAGATTACGTATGGACTGCGTTTTTTCTCGGATTTTCCAAATTTTTGACGCCATTTGATGATTACGAGACTTAGTGTCTCGAACTGAACTTGTAACAACTCGTCATAATGTTGGTTGGTAGCTCCCCGCCTCAGTTTAGCCATAAACTCGGTTAAACCGTGGGAAAGCAGTGCTCTAGAATTTTAAAGATATTTCTACCGAATTTTATATCACTGTGGGAAGCTAATTAATATAACACCCGGCCACAAAACTTCACTCGGGTCTCCATAAACTCACAAATTGAATTTTGTATTAATTACCGTTTCTTAAGTGAATTAATATTTCCTGTATAACAGTTTATATAATAAATACTGCTTTGAATAGAGACATAGTGGTTTCATAGCTCCTGTAATCACATTTCTCACATTTATGAGAATACTTGCTCACCTCATTATAAAAACATATGAAACAGATCTGGAAAGTCTAAATATAAATCCCTAAATTGTCCAGTATTGTCTAGAAAGTATAAATATATAGCTCTAAATGGTCTAAATGAATATGATCTCTTCATTTCATTTGTGTCGCAGCTCCTTTTATTGAATTGAGAACTTAACCGAATACTCACCTATTTCTTCCCCGCAGATCTAAGTATAGATAGCTGATTGCTCCTTTATAAATAGATCTAAATAAAGCTATATTCCTAGGTACGCGTGTCAGTGTTTAGTTATATCGATATATTATATAGGTAGCTGATTGCTCCAAGTAATAAATATTATTCCTAGGTACGCGTGTCAGTGCAACAACGGCTACCTGCTCATAGACGACGAAAGATCCTGCAGAAAACTAGACAGTCCCTGTACAGCCAACTCATGCGATCGTACGTGATAATCATTATTAATTCACAGTATTATTTATTATATTATTGATTAGTATGTCTGGTGAATCATAGATTAACTAATAAATCACGGGAATATTATTGATATTTCCGGTAAAAATTTAAGGAATAAAATAAAATATTATTATTATCCAGTAAATCACGAACGTGAATATTAAAATAATATGTTTAGTAAATCAAACAATTGATTTGATGATAAAACGTGATAACAGCATAATGAATATTATTGATATGTTAATAATATAACAAATACAATATGTATAACAATATAATCTCTACTATAATTCAGAGAATTATTTATGTATGTATGTCTGTACGACCGCCCACGTGCAAAATAGGTAAAAAGAAAAAGGTGCGTAGTAACCATGGTAACGAAGGTTGTTAAATGCACGTGCACGTGCAAAGATTGTTAAAACGGCATTTTTATCGGTTTTGTTGATATTACGTTAAGTGTTTAGTGCGAGCAACATTTTAATCGGCTGTATCTTCGGTTGTGTAGGATATTTTTTGACGCGATTGAAAATTATTAACAAAAAATGCTATTAGCTTCCTCCCTGTGACCACGGGTTTTCTAGTCTTAATTATAATTCGGAAGATTATCTTAGATAGGAAATAGGAAGTTGCATAATAACCATGGTAACGGTGGTGAACGCACTTGCCGCACGCGCACGTGCAAAGGTTTGTGAGCGACATTTTGATCTGTTTTGTGATAATTACGTTGTGTTCAGTTCGAGCTACATTTTAATCGGCTGTATCTTCGGTTGTGATGGATATTTTCTAATGCGATAAAAACTGACTACCAAAGAATACTATTACCTTCCTCCCTGTGACCACGGGCTTTCTAGTGTTATATATTATTGAGTTCAATCTAGTGCCCGCACAGTTATAATCGAAACCCGGCGATGGAGAACCTTAAATTGAAGAAATACTCAAATATGAGTGAAAAGTATTTAGTTTTGAATTTTGATTATTAATAATAATTCCGGTTGAAAATTTCGTCGGATAGTGCGCATATTGCAAACTGTCGCCATGTCGCTTTACGGATTCAAAATAAATCCTTGATTTCACGACCCTTTCAGTGCTTTTTTTCTGATAAGTTAAGATTTTATAACTCATAAAATTTATGAGTTATAAAATAATATTAAACATAACTTAATTACTGCATATAAATAATCGTAAGTTTTTTGTTAACGTGAGAACCTCTAAACCCGCTATCATTGGACAATGTTTGTGCTTTAAATCCATAACGAATCTAAAACACCTCAACGGTATTCGTATTTCATCCCCAGTGACTAATCCCCCAGTGATCGGTTTGTTTGTATGTGATTCTGTGGTTTAGGTACATTATCTTCGCAATCTTGTCTAAGAGCACGTACAGGTTAACAATTTTGGGGATCAAATTTTGGTTAATAAATCAGATCAGGACGGTAAGCCTGTATGGTGAGATTTGTGAGATTATGTATGGACAAATGACTGCGTTATTCCTCAGATTTTCCAAATTTTTGACGCCATTTGATGATTACGAGACTTAGTGTCTCGAACTGAACTTATAACAACTCGTCATAATGTTGGTTGGTAGCTCCCCGCCTCAGTTTAGCCATAAACTCGGTTAATCCGTGGGAAAGCAGTGCTCTAGAATTTAAAAGATATTTCTACCGAATTTATATCACTGTGGGAAGCTAATTAATATAACACCCGGCCACGGAACATTACTCCATTTAAACGAACAAATTAAATTTTTATTAATTACCTTAGTGAATTAAAACTGGGCCTACTAGAACATGTTATTGGAAACTACAGTGCTTTTAAACATTTTCACATCGGACTGTAACTGAGATATCACTTTTCCAAATATCGTTAATATGTCAAAAATGAGAAATGGTAATTTTAAGAATTTAATTTTCTGGAGATACATAATAATATGATAAAACTTGGTTTGCGATCTTTTATACCTATTAGTATAACCCAATGAACACTAAACTTAAACCTAAACCCAGGTCTAGTAACACCTAGTAACACCTAGTAACATGACACCTAGTAACATCTAGAAGTAACACCTAGTCATAACACCCAGTAACACGTAGTAACACCTAGTAGTAACACCTAGTAACACCTAGTAACTCCTAGTAACACCTAGTAGTAACGCTTAGTAACACCTAGTAGTAACACCCAGTAACACCTAGTAACTCCTAGTAACATCTAGTAGTAACGCTTAGTAACACATAGTAACACCTAGTAACACCTAGTAGTAACTCCTAGTAACACCTAGTAGTAACACCTAGTAACACCTAGTAACACCTAGTAACATCTAGTAGTAACGCTTAGTAACACATAGTAACACCTAGTAACACCTAGTAGTAACTCCTAGTAACACCTAGTAGTAACACCTAGTAACACCTAGTAACACCTAGTAACATCTAATAGTAACACCTACTGATTATCTTCCACATCGACCATATTGTCATTGAAATGAAAACCTTTTTAACCCCGTCACCCGTGCGAAGATCAGTAGACCATCAAGTGGGCCATTATAAACACATCAATTGTTACCCTTTCTCCCGTCCTGCCAGCATGTAATAACTGTGTATGTATTGTTAAATGTGAACACTGAACATCAGAACTGAGAACATGCTATAAAGTTATCGGGTTCAGATAATACTGACCCGGGTTAAAGTGGAGGGGTTTATCCTGGGGTCAATAAATCTGGTAATTTAACAAACTTGTTGAGGGGTGAGCTGCTGTGTGATGGAGATGTGAGTAACACCTAGTGACACCTAGTAACACCTAGTAACACCTAGTAACAGACTTGTTCAGGGGTGAGCTGCTGTGTGATGGAGATCTGAGCCTATGCTCGGGTATTAGGTTCTGAAAACTGGTTGTAAATTGCCTGATTGTTATCAGATCTAAATAGGGTTAAATGAACCATTGTTTGTTTTCATTGTTCATCTTCAAATCATATGGCGGACGGCTTTGATCCTTAGCCGGGTCCGACATGAAGTATCACGTGGTTTGAGTACCAACATGATGTGGGGTGTACTGAATCAACTCAAATATCTGTTAGATGGTAGTGTAGAAATTATCTGATTCTATTGACATCACTGATCCTGATTAGAGAAGTGGCACATTCACATCTTTTCCGGGTCTCCCACGGAATTACCCCGAATAATCCTGATTCCTGAATTATCCCGAATAGCCTGGTAAACACCACCAGCAAGTCCCACACGTATATTAAATTCCAAACATGATTAGTTTCATTTAGACAGATCTCGATTCTCGGACTGTCACCCCATCAATATCCCAGTTATAATTCAAGGATCATTCAGAGAATATTTCCAGATTTCCCAGCAACTATTTCCTGAACCTTCACCAATGTTTCTCGGTCGTTCAGCGGTTGTTCAGGTGGTGGTTACTGGCAACTTCAATAATTTCTGAGAACAGCTAGTGTCGGGGGGAAGCCAAGGGGAATGTTGTGGTATTCTGGGGAATGCCTTAATGGATTTTGGGAAACCCCCATAATAGAGTCACACATAATTCAACAAAATTCCCCTTGGCTTCACCCCTAGTGTCGGTATGCCGACCTGACTGTAACACGAACCTGTGAAATTCAGGACCACCACCAACTCCTGCCATTGAAACTAATCTTTTAGCTATTATAGTGGGATATGTTATTTTGAAAAGTGTAATTCGTCGTCTTAATGTTAATTGGAATAATATTAATATGTCGGTGCCGTTTCAAGGATAACAATGTTATATGCTTGAGGTATAGTCTTCATTCTTCATTATAAATACCTTCATTCCAAATACCTCTGAAAACAACCTCACTTTCGGTGCGCCGTGCGGTCCTCATTTTTCACCCGGTTACACTAAACTAAATTCTTCTGTAACCCTCTTGTAAACTGAAAATGCTGCATAAAAACTATAGAGTGTGCACCAGTTTAAACCATCTAAATTATGATCTGCTTGTGCTTCAAGACATTAAACTGCTGATACCTCTAATTCTACAGTTTTATTTAATTTTACCAACCCTTGTCAGTTGATAAGGCTCCTGTTTTATTTCTGAGCTTATTCCTAATTAGGCCCTGTCCCTTGCCGGCCTAGCCCTTTTATAAATAATGGGGTTTCCGGAAGTTATAGCCACTACGACGTTTCTGCTCAAAGAGACCGTTTTTCGAAGAGACCGTTTTTGGAGACGCGGAGCGACTTATTTTTTCATTTCGGGCAAAAACTTAAAATTATTATTAAGTCTCCCACTTGAAGCTAGATAGTCTCCCACTTGAAGCTAGATAGTATCCCACTTGAAGCTAGACAGTCTCCCACTTGAAGCTAGATAGTCTCCCACTTGAAGCTAGACAGTCTCTCACTTGAAGCTAGATAGTCTCCCACTTGAAGCTAGATAGTCTCCCACTTGAAGCTAGACAGTCTCCCACTTGAAGCTAGATAGTCTCCCACTTGAAGCTAGATAGTCTCCCACTTGAAGCTAGATAGTCTCCCACTTGAAGCTAGATAGTCTCCCACTTGAAGCTAGATAGTCTCCCACTTGAAGCTAGATAGTCTCCCACTTGAAGCTAGATAGTCTCCCACTTGAAGCTAGACAGTCTCCCACTTGAAGTTAGACAGTCTCCCACTTGAAGCTAGATAGTCTCCCACTTGAAGCTAGATAGTCTCCCACTTGAAGCTAGATAGTCTCCCACTTGAAGCTAGATAGTCTCCCACTTGAAGCTAGATAGTCTCCCACACAGTCTACCGCCACACTAGCAGTTTAATAACTGGCTAGATCAAAGAGTCGTGTCCATGTGTCATGCACATGTACACTCACATAATAATATATCATTATCACACTGTAGACAAATTTACAACATCTCCTGCATGCAATCTGTCTCAGATAGAGTGTGTGTGTGTGTGTGTGTGTGTGTGTGTGTGTGTGTGTGTGTGTGTGTGATGACATTGTAATTTAAGGGCAGCCACATCTTGTTATTTAGGGTCCTTATCTTACTGAATGCTTTCAACACCAGCTTGTGGAAAGTAAGCACTTTCTTATTTTTCGGGGGATCGTTATGATGTCATGTATTATTACGGTGTAGTTGTCTGTCATATAGTCCGGGGTCTGTCACGTAATTTGGTTCGTTCGTCTAGGGGCTTGTATTGTGACAGCTGATAAAACGTTCGCGTATGAGAGCTGAGTTGTAGTAGGTTAAAGTTCTGATTATAATTATATATTGTGATATTATAATTTGGTATTCAAAATCTCTCTGGACTATAATTATTGTCGTATTAGATTCTTGCCGCTGAATGACTTACGACACTGATTGAATGATAAATATTTGGTTCCCGTACTGTAGTGCGACACGTACCCTTGTGCGAAACATACCCTAGTGCGAAACCTTCAAGGCCGACACTGTCGCACTACAGTACGTTACCTGGACTGTAGTGCGACACGAACTAAAGTGCGACAAAAAACTTTACACATAAATATTAAATCAAAAATATTTCATTTATGATTACACTCACAATATTCAATTCAAATTCATTGTTCCAACACACTTCAAATAGTCCATTCTGTCATAATCATCGTAGCAATCAATCGTAGTGCGAAAGAGGGTGTTTTTGTCGGACTTCGCACTAGAGTACTTGTCGCACTAGAGTACTTGTCGCACTAGAGTACCAGTCGCACTAAAGTACGTGTCGCACTAGAGTACGTGTCGCACTAGAGTACGTGTCGCACTACTGCAGTACGATTACCTAAATAGGCCTTAAACTTTGCTTTTAAGAACTTCAAAGGGCCCTGATTTTATTCTATAAAAAACATACATTTACGTCTAGTGTAATAAAGGCTATCAAGATTTAGGATTTAAACATTTAACACGTCCGTGTAAATCAATTTGTTCAATAGTCCCGATGGACTATAATATCGTATCAAACATTAGTCGAAAACATGTGAAAAATCATGTTTATGTTTTGTGTTTAGATTGGGTCCCGTAAAGACTTAAGATGTGATATATTAATGTAACTTAATATGTGAAAAATAAATCTAACTACGTATTTCTGAAAAACAAAACAAATTGAGAAATATAATTAAGCTAACTCCCGAGTCCCGATCCCACTTTATATTTAAGCTCAGACGTGAAATATAAATGTAACTTATCTGCTAATTACTAATTAACTAATTTACTAATTACTCCCTCATTTCAGCTCGCTATTGTATAATGTGCGGCACAGGAGACTGTATCCTCAGCAAACTCAAGTGTGACGGAGATATTGACTGTTATGACGGAACAGACGAACAAAACTGTCGTAAGTAGGCTGAAATTGCGCTAGAAAATAGCTGACGAAAAGTGTTAGGAATTTTGGTAACCAAAAATTTAACCTTTTTGCAATTTTCAATTAATTGAATGATTTCGTTCTGATGATCGATCCTAATCCTGTGTAATCCTGTGTAATCCAGTACTCACAAGTCACACCAAATGACACAAACCAACCAATCAGAACGCAGTACTCACAACACATGACACAAACCAATCAATCAGAGCACAGCACTCACACCACGTGACACAAACTAACCAATCAGAACACAGTACTCACACCACGTGACACAAACTAACAAATCAGAGCACCGTACTCACAGTTCACACCACGTGACACAAACCAACCAAACAGAGCACATCACTCACACCACGTGACACAAACTAACCAATCAGAGCACAGCACTCACACCACGTGACACAAACTAACCCAAAAGTTCACACACTTGCTCCTCCTCACACACTCTTCACATAACTCCAATATATAATAATATGTTAAAAGTGGGAGCTCTGCATTTTAATTCGATTACAATCTCCTACAATACACACTCCGATCCCACATGTACTACTACTAAGTAGCAAGTCGCTAATAAATAGCCAACTCAACAGCAATCCGATTACTTGCCCCTAAATTAAATCTAGACCAACATTTGCGGTTTGGAACCTATCTCTGAACCGTAAGAATAGAACGGGGGGATTCAGTTAGGGTACTTAGTTAAGTTTAACACTAACTTAGTTAAGTTAAACACTAACTTAGTTAGCAGATACTATTTCCCTGCTGTTGCTGCAGATAAAGTTAGCGTATTTAACCCCCGTCAGAGAGACCTGTGTAATAATCCCGGAATAATGGCGCCGAAATAAGGGCTCCACCCGGAGCAGCAATTCAAGAGTTGCTTCTCGGACACAAGTGTATGTGTTGAGCTCCGGTTTTTATACCGGGGTGGAATTTAATTGGCGGAATATGTGATTACTAATTGATTTTCAGAAGATATGTGCGTCAATTAGACATGTCAATCGTCACTAATATGTATCAGGAGAAATTTAATAAGTCAAAGTGTTAACGAAATTTTGCCGATCAGGAGTGAATTGAGCGATTTCCGTTGAATTCCTTTGACGCTTTCTATGTTCGTTGGGCAATAGTGAAAGACGAAAGTCTGAGATAAAATCTACTATATTTGTGGAAGACGGGATGATTTAAGAACATAGGCTAATACTGGTTGAACGAGAGAATGATCTGAGAGAAATACAATTTACGTATAATTATGAGATCACAGGAATCACGAAAATTGTTTGCAGCTTTTGCATCTGCACATTCTGCACTGGGGCGTGTAGAATATTAGAAACAAAATCCTCGGTTACACTCATCCTAGACGACCATGGTGGGGTATCGGTTAATCAGAACCGGATTTTATAACGATAACATAGTCAAAAGGTCCAGGTTCAACCTTTATCCCACGACCTCGAAAGCTGGCCTCTACATAATATTTTCTACATATTTTCGAGCTTTTAATTTAATTTGATCGTAATTTCGAGCTTTTATAGGCCAGCGAAATATTGAGTTACTTTCAAGTAATAAAAAAAAGTAAAATCTCTACTTCTCCTCAGTGTTTAAGTGTCACTAATTCCATGTCACATTTCGTTAACTACCCAGGGCCACATTAAAATGAGTTAACTAGTTCTCACTAACCCTCAAGATACCAAGAAGGAAGGTGGTCAGATCTAGACCTAAGGCCACACACTATGATTTGTACTTCCAATGCAAGAATCAAGGTGGTCAGGCCTAGGCCCAGGGCCACACACTATGGTTTGTACTTCCAAGAAGGAAGGTGGCCAGATCTAGACCTAAGGCCACACACTATGATTTGTACTTCCAATGCAAGAATCAAGGTGGTCAGGTCTAGACCCAGGGCCACACACTATGATTTGTACTTCCAAGAAGGAAGGTGGTCAGATCTAGACCTAAGGCCACACACTATGATTTGTACTTCCAATTAGAAGATAAGCCAGTTGCTAGTCCCCTGAACTCTCAATTCATATATTTTGGCTCATAAATTGGTCTAGTATATGGTAAGTAATATGGATTCAACATTTTAATGGAGAAAATGTAGGTATATTAAAGTATATTAAAGTACATTAAAGTATATTAAAGTATATTAAAGTATATTAAAGTATATTAAAGTATATTAAAGTATATTAAAGTATATTAAAGTATATTAAAGTATATCCCCGGGTCAAAATTGGAAAAAATCCTACATTTTAATATACTTTAATATGGTTGGCCCCCCCCCCAAATCTCTACTTCTCCTCAGTGTTTAAGTGTCACTAATTCCATGTTACATTTCGTTAACTACCCAGGGCCACATTAAAATGAGTTAACTAGTTCTCACTAACCCTCAAGATACCAAGAATCAAGGTGGTCAGGTCTAGACCCAGGGCCACACACTATGATTTGTACTTCCAAGAAGGAAGGTGGTCAGATCTAGACCCAGGGTCACACACTATGATTTGTACTTCCAATGCAAGAAGGAAGGTGGTCAGATCTAGACCCAGGGCCACACACTATGATTTGTACTTCCAAGAAGGAAGGTGGTCAGATCTAGGCCCAGGGCCACACACTATGACTTGTACTTCCCAAGAAGCAAGGTGGTCAGGCCTAGGCCTAGGGCCACACTATGATTTGTACTTCTTCTCCCCAGCTCGTCTCCCATCTGTATTGTCGCATACACTGTACACCTAATTAAACGGAAACGGAGGCGTCCCCCATTGGCCGGGACTCTCTCACGTGACGTCTCACGTGACGTCACGTGAGCTGTCACGTGACGTCACGTGAGATGAATACTGCAGCTGGATTGGTTGGGAGGTCTTTCTGGAAATTGTATTATAAAGTTATATGTATTATAATATAATATGAGGTAGAGGAGTTACACTTGAATGCGCTTGTGTATATCGGCCTGTGTGGGGAGGTGGTGGGTGGGATGTGATAATGTGGTGGTGGTCTCGTGTGGTAAAGGAATGTAACTATAATATTTGGGGGTATTTGTTGGAGGGATAATTCTTTGTAAGATAACTTACCTGTCTGAATGAAGGTTGGTTTTAATGAAAATATATGATTATTTTAAAGAATTAAGGTAAGTTTCCTGATTCTGAGGGGTAACACTAGAGTATCACTACTAGATGTATTGGTACTAGATGCTACTAGAGTACCAGCAAGACATGGCTCTCAGCATCAAGTAAACAAGTTTGTGGAACTTGGAAGTTTAAGGTTTGGTGACGCTTTTCTTGCACACGATTGCAAACAAAAGTTTTGTTTTGTTCAAGGAGCAAACTTGCCGCATAGGTCCAGAATTAGACAAACAACTGCAATGTAGGTACAACTTGAAATACCTGAATATTTATGATATCTACACGGTCACCAGGTACCTGTCTTCTTTACCGCTATATCAGGCTAGGTACCTATAGCAGGCTAGGTACCTGTCTCCTTTACAAGGGGTCTGTTGAAATTTAGATTGCAAATGAGTACTGCCTCCTTAGTCCTTGTAGCCTCTCAGCATACAGCTAAAGTACTACAAACTACTATAGACCCCTAATTACAGCTAGCTCCTTTTCCGTCCTACATCACCACAACTACTTGAACCAGCTCACATAACTCCATTAACAATGAACATCTTACAAATTCCCCTCCAAGTCCGCAGCAAGCTTTACCGTGCAATCCACAACTTCCCCTTTATTTTCAGAGCTAAATGGAAGCTCTAAAGTAGCTGAAAATCCCCTGAAATGAGCCGTGCTATTAGTAGCATGTAAAGGATCTACTACAGTATGTACTTACTAGTTACTATGTATGTAATCACTAATACTGAAACTGTGATTAAGATTGGTAATGGAATTTCACCAATTTCAGTGAAGCCCTCACTCAAAAACCTGGAACATTCAATTAGGAGCAATTAGAGTAATTTGGCGGCAGTAAACCTAAACGTTTAAGATAATGACAGGCACTCATTGTACTGAGCTAAAGTATTTATACCATATCTCCGTTCCTGGATGATTGCCATATTATCATGTAGTACACCCATTGTGGAGAGAGTGATGTTACGCAAGTCATTATTAGTGACGGTAGTATGAAAACAGGTGAACAATCCCGCCCGGAAACTTATCCTTGCAGATTATATCTGGACTGATATCTGGATCTGCAGATTTGGAGATTAATCCAAGCCATGTACAATACATAGTAAATTTCTAAGGTATTTCGAGATTATATTATATACCAATGTACGGGAATCTGCTGATTTTTAATTGGTTTAACTGTGAATATTACCGGAGGTAGAGTTACCAGAGCAAGTAATCTGTGGTAGTCTGGTTACCAGAGCGAGTAATCTGTGGTAGTCTGGTTACCAGAGCGAGTAATCTGTGGTAGTCTGGTTACCAGAGCGAGTAATCTGTGGTAGTCTGGTTACCAGAGCGAGTAATCTGTGGTAGTATGGTTACCAGAGCGAATAATCTGTGGTAGTCTGGTTACCAGAGCGAGTAATCTGTGGTAGTCTGGTTACCAGAGCGAGTAATCTGGACTCCGAGTAATCTAGACTCCGTAAACAGTCTGGAATAACAAATAAGCATAATATGTGTAAATTTTATCCTGAGATATTCCACATATTTCCGCAAGGCGGGTTTTTCCGTCCAGAAATCAAGATTTTTACTGGGTAAAGTAGTCTGTATGACAATTGACAGTTTCTAGATCAAGTAACTACAGTTAGAAGACCGACTAAACAGCATAATAGTTTCAGATAATAGACAAAGTAACCAATTATACGATATCTCCAGTTGAGAAACCAAGTTATCAAAATGGCAGTTTCGACGTCTACTACATAACAAACAATTTGACGAGGTTCTCTAAAGATGATATTTTATTCGAAGAATTCAAGAGCCTAAACTGTGTATGATTCGCCTCCTCAAACAAATCTAAAGTTATCATAATGGCAGTTTCAATAGTAGTAGTTTCAATCTCTAGTTGCCTAGCAACCAGTCTGGCAGTCATAATATAATCTGACAAATAACCTGTTAAAAGTACGGTTACTTCCGGTGTTATATTGTTCCTGCTACCCCCTCGGACCGTCACGTATGTATAGTGTCGTACACTATAACAATGTGTAGCAAACTCTGCTATTTATTGCAGTTAATATTTAATACCACACGGTGTTGAAATATGACTGCTATTTCTCTCACTGCAAAACTAGATACTTATTATTAATTCTGCATAGTGCATAATATTATTAATTCTGCATATTAAATTAAAATTGATACATTCCCACAAGCAGAATTTGGGATCGTGCCAACCGGAAACTCAGATTTATTTTTAGGTCCGAGACCGAGCCCGAATATTTTTGACGCGTTACAAGGCGAAAGGGGTGTAGGAGAAGAATCTATCGATATTATATCGCAGTGAAATTGAAATTTTAGCCTGATGAAAGTGTAGCACACTGAAAGCTCGCGTTTCCTCCTAAACAGTAGTTTCACATGACTCATGAGACTGATAAATAGCGAACCCTCCGGGATCTCTTATATCGCAGTATTATACAGTATTAGACAGCAATTTATTAGACAGCAAGTCGCGTAACCCCGGATTTGCAATATCATAATCAGAAGAATTAAACTTGGGCACATTAATATTAACAGTGGACTGTATGATAAATTTTCGGTCGAAAAAGTGTATTGACTTATTGAAGATCATTTCATCATTTGTGTTGAAAGAGTCAAACAGTGGTATGATAACAAAACAGGACCCAATTTTATCGAACAGGATGATTATGGGGGCCGGGGCCGGGTGCACCTTGGTACCCTGGATTATTCTTTAAACTTGACTATAAGACCCTGACTTCTCATCATCCTGTCGAGCTCAACATTCCAAATAGTGTAACACACCGAGTTGTTTCCTATGCTCTTGATCGGAGAGAATAGGAAAGTTAAAAGAATTGTGGTAGGTAGAATTGCTGCTTGATAAATCGGAACGTTACCCACGCCTACTGAATACATGGGATTAACTTTAGGACTGAATACACTTTAAAAACACTAATATAATCGGTATTAAATTTAATAGCTTGTGATTATTCTACTTACCAGCTTGGTTAAGATGCCCCAGCTCTGTGAGCTTTAACACGAAGTTTAAAAAGAGCTGAGTACCCACTGATTCTTCTTCTTCGTAGGGGGCTGCGGTCATTATGACTATAAAGCTATAAGATAGAGCATGACCACTGTAAGATATAGCATTGGAGCCCTGTGCTAACCACGGTAAAATATTTCACCCACTGATTAGAGAAGAAGAAGAAGATTAGACGAGGAGGAGATGAGGTGACTGGTAAATTTATGTGTAGTAAGCATAAACCGAGGACTGTTAAGCACTGAAACAATTAAGTGTGGCCTGGAGATGCGGTATAACGTTGGGAGATGCGGTATCTCGTTGGGAGATGCGGTATCTCGTTGGGAGATGCGGTATCTTGTTGGGAGATGCGGTATCTCGTTGGGAGATGCGGTATCACGTTGGGAGATGCGGTATCTCGTTGGGAGATGCGGTATCACGTTGGGAGATGCGGTATCACGTTGGGAGATGCGGTATCACGTTGGGGGATGAACTGTGTTTATTGTGACACGCGACAGTGGTTCTGGGAATTTATTGGTTGATTCTGGGTCGGTTAATAGTTTTTACGTGCCAGCAAAAATATGGTTAGCCAGTGTCCAGGTTCATAATTAAAAAACACTTAACCGATATTGGTATTACCGAATCACGTACAACAGAATTTATTGGTTGATTCTGGGTCGGTTAATAGTTTTTACGTGCCAGCAAAAATATGGTTAGCCAGTGTCCAGGTTCATAATTAAAAAACACTTAACCGATATTGGTATTACCGAATCACGTACAACAGAATTTATTGGTTGATTCTGGGTCGGTTAATAGTTTTTACGTGCCAGCAAAAATATGGTTAGCCAGTGTCCAGGTTCATAATTAAAAAACACTTAACCGATATTGGTATTACCGAATCACGTACAACACGTATGACGCCCGTAGTCACGAATTTAATTTAAGGAGAGCGTATCATAGACGAGGAAGACTACAAAAGTTTAATTTAACATGTGACAACGATGAACCAATCACCGTGCAGCAGTGAGCAATTAAATTGGTAAATTTGGTCAGACGCTGGTCAGACCCTCCCACCATGACCAGTTTCCGAGTCTTCTACTCTTAATAATACAAGCTTAAAATAACTTCTACTCTTAAGCTTAATCATTTAGCTCGGAAGCGTTTCTACCACTTCTGACTACACGAATCTGGAATAGATCTCCCCTGAGATTACTATATAATAGTCATTACATTAACTGAAGATATGAACGTTAAGTACTTTAAAAGTGTAACATGATATTATAGCACCTAACATTGGCTGTAAATTATAGACTAATTAAGCAAATGAATTGATCACGCAAACATGTTCCGATGTGGTAAGGAAAGTTCAATCTTCCGAATCTGTTTGATAATCATGATAATTTATTACCGTTATTACATCCCGTGCCAGCTTCGTTAAGCTCCAAATTCAATGTGGTAAAACCAGTTCAAACTTTCATATCTATGAATGAAAATTTACCATCACTATTTTTCCTGTGCCATATTTCAAGTCCAGATAAAATTCAATGTGGCAATAAAAGTTTAATCTTTCGTATCTGCGTATAAATCATTACTGTTAGGTATTAGTTTATCCCGTACTATTATACGATATGTTTTGATGCTTCAAGTAAGATTCAAATATAGGCTGCGACCGTGAGTGTGTAAATAAAATGTTAGAATAACGAAGCATTTTCATCTGGTCAAAGTATTCAAATCCCATTCAATAAAAAATGTTATCATAAATGTTAAGGGAATTAAAATTTGAAGGCAATTGAATTTTGAAGTTCAAGCAATTACTGAATAATTAAACCAAATGTTAAATATGCAGTATTATTAAAAGTTTTGAAAATCCAGAGTTCAGTAACGCTTACTTACATTAATTCTACTCATTGCACACCATTCAAATCAAAATCATTAAAAATTGAAAAATGTTTAAATTCAACTCTAGGGCACATTCCATGGCACATTCCATGGCACATTCCATGGCACATTCCATGGCACATTCCATGGCACATTTCATGGCACATTTCATGGCACATTTCATGGCACATTTCATGGCACATTTCATGGCACATTTCATGGCACATTTCATGGCACATTTCATGGCACATTTCATGGCACATTTCATGGCACATTTCATGGCACATTTCATGGCACATTTCATGGCACATTTCATGGCACATTTCATGGCACATTTCATGGCACATTTCATGGCACATTTCATGGCACATTTCATGGCACATTTCATGGCACATTTCCTGGCACATTTCATGGCACATTTCATGGCACATTTCATGACACATTTCATGACACATATTTTCACTACTAAATACTCTTGTCTCTTATTATACTGACTGCATCCTGCACAATATTTTATAACACAAACTCATAACATTGATGATACCTGATTAGTGATTTACCTACGATCAAACGTAAAGCTTACACAAAAGCATGTCTTATTGTTTTAAGTCAGCTGCATGAAACTAATGTTCTAACCAGTTAAATACTTATGTAATTAGTTAATTAGACCCGATTAGTTAATTAGTAACATAATTATATGTATGAATACTAACGTGCTTGTAGCATATGGATTCCAGGAAATATTCACTCCGATGTCCCTAGCAACCACGACCGACCACCATAGCAACTGCATGGCGCGGGAGTTCCAGTGCCTGAGCGGGAGGTGTATCTCAGAGAAGATGAAGTGTGATGGTACAGTGGACTGTGACGACAGTAGTGATGAGGATCCTAGGTTTTGTGTAGGTAAGTCAAGAGCAGGGATTGCTAATTAATTACAGTAATTAACTAATTAATTGAATTGTTTACATACTTTAATGTATAGTTTAATGCTAGAACTGTTCAACTTCAACTGTACTAACTTGTTCTACAGATCGTGTCTCATGTTTTGTCTGAATAAATTTTGTTTACGTAGGAGTATTGTTGCAAACCACAAGTTACGTGGATTAACGTTTGTGTGTTTTGTGTGTTTGTTTGTGTGTTTGTGTGTTTGTTTGTGTGTTTGTTTGTGTGTTAGTTTGTGTGTTTGTTTGTGTGTTTGTTTGTGTGTTTGTACGACGGCTCTCCCACGGAAAATTAACAATTCATCCTAAATAACATTTAATTCGTAATTGTCTGACAATATTTTAATATTTATCCCTTGATAGTAGAACCGAGGAGCCTCAACCTGATCACGTGATACTGATCACATGACACTCATAGGATTTAACCGTGCTATCCACCGGAACTTCTGGCTCCAACTTTCTTAAATTCGAATCATTGCACTGAAATTAGCGTGTACACGAAGTATTAGTGCAAATCTCTCATAACATTAAAATTAAGTATAACTTTGACGACACCACCCGCTCCTCTATATCACGTGACAGGTCCCTTTGATGGCGGTGTGATCTGATCGAAAGGAGATACTATCAGTATCTTCCTCTAACTCTCTAGAAGTATCTTGCAAGAAGGAGATATTATCTCACCATTAGTAACGTTTAAAGATGTTGACGTGTTGGTTTAGAACCAGACACCCAGACACAGTCGGCTTGCAGTTTCTCAAAATACTGAGAGTATTCGGTCTGCTTTATCTGTGATCAAAGAGGCTGTAGACTTTGCCGCTATTTTCAGAGGTTACTTAGACGTTACATAGATGTTCGGGAGGTGCAAAATAGTATTTTTGGAACTTATAATGTACGCCGGAACGTTCTGCTGAAATGAACTGTTCAAATATAATAAACCTTATAACATTTGTAAATATCGTAATACGTATATAATAATATTTAGTAGAAAATAGCCCGCTGTATTTTGACATTGTAATTTACAACTCGACCCCATCGTCTACTCAGAGAAACTACCGAATACGAAACAAATCTGCATGCAAACTAAAATATAAAATAAACTATCACTATTATCAAGTTACATTTTAAATTTCTCAGCTTATGTAAATAAACTATAATCACACGAAATTACTCTAGAAACTTCCTGGAGATTGTTATAATTATGTAATTATGTAATAATTATGTAATGATTATGTAATTAAATAGTTAAATGTAATATCTGTAACGTCAATCATCAGAGAACTTGTTTTAACATGCAATAGTGCTCCGTGTAGTGCAGAAATGTGCACAGCTCAATTGTCTGTAAGTCTAGTGGCAAGGTGCAGTAATTCTGCCGTTTTCTGACAAATGTGCCCAAAGACAATTTTTGAAATTCTGAATTCTTTAACCCAAATGTAAGCACTCTTGTCAGAAAACGGCAGAATTGTCCTGCTATACAGATAATATAATCAATCCAGGCAATTATAGATGCAGTAGATAATTATAAATTACGGCATCTTAATTAATCATTTAATGTTTCTTATGAGTATTGCTGAAAGCACAGTGTAAGGCCTACACTTATGCCATAATTGCCATTGGTCAATAACATTTAAATTTTGGATATTCGGCCGCTTAACAATTTGAAGTACAGAATATAATCTTAACCGATTTCACAGTGCATGCACCTTTAATTTGGGAGTCGAGCATGCTCATTGATTAGTGGATTGAAAACATCGTGTGCTCATGGTATGTGTGTAAATGCTACGTTCACAGTACGTTCACAGTACAGTACTTTACAACGATAATCCGCTACACCACATATATTTTAAGTCGATATATTTTAATGTTGCCATGGGGTGGCAAGTCCCCATACATCGGTGGTCCGGTAGTTTCACTGCATCTTAATAATATAACAGATAGTGTTAAGTAGCAGTGCACAGCTGTAGTCCCATTAATCAGAATCGTACATTTTGGACACAATATGGCCTTCTGTACATTGTACGCTTTTTTCCATGTTTCTACTTTGAGGCACCTGCAAACCAAAGACGCTACCTCATTGGGACCAGGACTTAAATGCGGCTTAAGTGCGGCTGTGGCCTCATGTGGCCTCATGTGGCCCAAGTACTGATAATCGGGCATATAAAACTATTGTTAATGTTATCGAAACTTTCAAAGGAAAATTTTGAATTGGTTCTTATTTAAGCCCTGTTTTCAAGAAATGTTGCATTTTAAAAAGACATGCCTCTTTCAAATTCAAATATGAGAGCACATTTACATTTATGGGAGTATTTGGTGAAATCGCACCTATAACTTGGTCCGCATAATCTGCAAGGATATAATATTAGCAGCTCGCAGTCCCTCTGACCAACCTAGCCCCCTTCTACTATTCTACTGAGTTCTCAGATACCTTAAAGAGGGTCACAAGGTCTCAGAACCATAGTTCATGGCACTTAGGAAATGACGATAACAATGTAAAGAACATAATCTGAAAATTTGAGCTCTCTACCTAGCTCCTGAGCGGAGTTACAGCCATAATTAGATCTCGCCCCTGTGACGTCAGCTAAATTCTTCCGCTCGGGTGGGCTATGCTTGTCAAAGCAAACTTAGTGTAATGTGTTCTGTTTTCTGCCTAGTTTCTTACATGATTAACCTATTTCTATTTCCAATTTCCAGTTATGTTGTCTGCTGCTAGAAAATTACACGTAGAATTACACGATTTATTGACATAATGTTGATATTGTAACAGAAATAAAACATTACATAACATTTAGCATTGTAATATTCACTTTTGGTAAAAAGTTTTAAATGAAAAAGACCTAGTTGCCCATTCTAGAGAAACTCTTATTCTTGACACTAGCCAATGACGGCTTATCTACCCCGTGGAAGGTCCTAGGTACCGGTTTGCGGATGTAACGATTTAAGTCAATCGGTAGGAGGGTGTTTGAATTAACATTCCCCCCAATCTCTGACAGGAGACTTTTCTTGAAGGGAATGATGTCCTTCACCACCTTTGTCTTAATCCTATATCGCTTGCTCGCCCTTGAATAATCCCGTACTTCATACCGCTTAGATGGGGCCATGCTCTGCAGATTGTTGTGTATAAGCACCGCAAACATCGTCATAATGATGCTGGTGTCCATCTTGTAGGCTGTTGACTTGGGCAGGTACTTTATCTTTGTGCTATGTATGACACTAACAGACGATTTTATCAATCTCATAATGAGCAAGTCAGTGCTTCACCTTGTTTCATACTCAGTCAATAAAAAGGGATGCATCAACGAAAAAGATACAGAAAATTTCAACAAAATGCTGAGATTTACTGGGTACAAATCGTTCTTGAACATAATTGATTTGAAAGGGTTGGGGAAAAGAAGGAGATACGGACTTCCGGCATGTGTAGTGCACAACATACGTGAAAAATATCCGAGTGCAAACAAGGACTACACTGGATTTAAGGCAGCGTTAGACGATTCTGAGGGAAGTGGATCAGGCAACCAACTTGGAAGTGATAAACTCCGTGCATTTTAAAGTGCATACTGCATTCCAAAAGTTCACTGCCTAAATTTCACTGCCTCTCACTTTTTCCCACAATAGTGTTACCAGAAGTCAGAACACTCATACAGCTATCAGGAAAGACTGCTATATTTGACTGCCAGGATTGTAAAATAACAATTTTGCCGCAAAAATAGTTTTCGTCGAAGTTTAATAACACTTTTCACTACAGTCAAAACACTACAGTCAAAACTTAACGAGCCATTAAATAGAAAAGGAGGCAAATCGGGACAGTTTTGCATTTCACGGTAAGAATGTAACGTAGTCGTAAACAAACGGCAAGCTGAGCGGAATGGATTTTGTTTGTGTCATCAGTCTGGCCACTAACGACTCTACAAATCTATTTTTATTCACACTCTGGGCCTAGAATTTTGAGATCCCGGTCCGCAATTACCTCAACATTACACTGAGTAGAGTTGGAATTGGCTGTAATTTAGTCAATATCGACTCTTGTGACCCTCTTTAACGGAGCTTTTAAACCACGTGACACGATCTAGTCGTAAAGTAATACCACGTGACCTTGGATCTAGTCGTAAAGCAATACCACGTGACCTTGGATCTAGTCGTAAAACAACGTGCTACATTGCCAGATGTGAGACTCTAATAACGCCTTGTAATTCTATTATTACATGTTATTCAATAATTGAATATTCCTGGAAGACTTGCGTTGCTATGTATTGTTTTCTGAGAAATTCAGCTGTTGCAGGATTATTATATTTATAAGTGCATCCTGACTGTCGCAGTGTCGCCAGTATTATCGGAAAAAATAATAAATCGTCTCATTTGGCGTCTCAATTACGACCATCGTCTCATAGATCATTCGCTACGTCCCCAAAAAACTTAAAAACAACTTGGTGCCGGATAATAATTTCCAAAAGTAACCAAATCTGATATTTTATACAACACATCTGCACATTTATAATGGCAAATGTAGACACTTACCGGTTACATGGCTTGCTAACTATACACAGCCCTAGTAGCCCTGTAAATACCACTCCCTCTCTCTCTCTCTCTCTCTCTCTCTCTCTCTCTCTCTCTCTCTCTCTCTCTCTCTCTCTCTCTCTCTCTCTCCTCTCTCTCTCTCTCTCTCTCTCTCTCTCTCTCTCTCTCTCTCTCTCTCTCTCTCTCTCTCTCTCTCTCCCTCCCTTCCTCCCTCCCTCCCTCCCTCCCTCCCTCCCTCCCTCCCTCCCTCCCTCCCTCCCTCCCTCCCTCCCTCCCTCCCTCCCGGCATTTCATCCTCTCTGTGTTGAAAGCTGGACGGTGCCAGGCTGTTATAATAACCAACTAAAGCATATAAAATAATAATGAATAAACACTATATGGTTCATGTTTAGTATGAACTCCAACACTTCAATAGCCTAAAATGAAATCAAACCAAAATTATTGCGAAAACTA